GTGGGTACAAACAATGAGAAGTTGCTAAATGATGAATTCTACATCGGGCTTAAACAGCGAAGAGCAACTGGCCAGGTTTACTAATCTGTTTCCTATTAGTCATTTCTCTTCTTATCACTAATACTATGATTTTCATAAACTGAGAATTCTATTTGCTTTTGTGATTCAGGAATATGCTGAGTTCCTCCACGAGTTCATGTGTGCTGTTAAGCAGAACTATGGAGAGAAAGTGTTGGTACAGGTAAGCCATAGGATCAACTCTCTTAAGAACTATGATTGTTGTTATCGTTCTTTGTTAAAGATGTCTCGGAATTAATATCATACATACTCTTCTTTTCAGTTTGAAGATTTTGCAAACCACAATGCGTTTGACCTTTTGTCTAAGTACAGCGACAGCCATCTTGTTTTCAATGACGATATCCAGGTAACATCTTCTCCTCAAGATTGATCTTTTTTCTTAAATTTTGGTTGAGGTACCAAAGAGCTTACCAAGAACTTGTTTTTTGTTTTGTGTAATTGCAGGGTACTGCATCTGTGGTGCTTGCTGGGCTTATTGCCGCTCAGAAGGTGCTTGGTAAAAAGCTGGCTGACCATACCTTCCTGTTCTTGGGTGCTGGAGAGGTGAGACCAGAATGCATTATACTCTATAAGCTTATTATTCTTGCATTTATTTTTTGATGCTTACACTTTATCTCACTGGTTCTTTGAAGGCTGGAACCGGTATCGCTGAGCTAATTGCTCTTAAGATTTCGAAAGAGGTTAGTCAATCTGGGGGATTTCTTGCATTTGATCTGTTTTTTGGCTAAGATTATGTGATTGATCATACCTCGTTTTTTTTTGTAGAGTGGAGCTCCCATCGCTGAGAGCCGGAAGAAGATTTGGCTTGTGGACTCTAAGGTATAGGCGCCAACCACCAAGATCAGTCTCATCATTTTTAGCTAAACCATTCTTGTTCATATATGTTCCTCTTTTGAACATTATTTTGCAGGGACTGATCGTTAGCTCGCGCAAAGAATCTCTTCAGCACTTCAAGCAGCCATGGGCACATGAGCACGAACCCGTGAAGGACCTCATTGGTGCTGTTAAGGTACGCGATGAACTGATCTTTAACTTGCTTGATAGTGAATAGAGAATCTTGATGTTAGATGTCTTATTCTTGTGTTCACTGTTTGTTGAAACTTTTTTTCAAACAGGCAATCAAGCCAACCGTTCTCATTGGAACATCCGGTGTTGGTCAGACTTTCACAAAAGAAGTTGTCGAGGCCATGGCTACCAACAACGAGGTTTCTTCTTGTTCTTACTCTCTGCTTTTTCAAAAAACAAGGTATTCATGCTATTTTTCTAATGCTGGTCTTGGTGTTGGCTTATAGAAACCGTTGATTCTTGCTCTCTCAAACCCTACCTCTCAAGCTGAGTGTACCGCAGAGCAGGCTTACACATGGACCAAGGTATACTGTCTCATATGACATCTGAATGTGATTCATGTCCTGACTCCTGATTATATATTTTTTTTTTGGTGTGATGACTCCTGATTATATAACAAAGTATAATTTGGTTTTCATGCCGCTCGTCAAATCTAATCATATATATCGTGCTTAAAACAGGGTCGTGCAATCTTTGGAAGTGGAAGCCCGTTTGATCCTGTTGAGTACAATGGCAAAACTTACTTGCCTGGCCAGGTTCGTGCTATTTCAACAACTTCTTCTCTCTCAACTTTGTATATCTGACAATCTGAGTGCTCACATCATATTTCCACCATCCTACTTAACTTCAGGCAAACAACTGTTACATTTTCCCGGGTCTGGGTCTTGGTTTGATCATGTCCGGTGCAATTCGTGTCCGTGATGACATGCTCCTCGCAGCTTGTAAGTAACAAATAAACATCAGAAAATCAAACTTGGACACTGATGATTTAGGACAGACACTTAAAGATTCTCAATGTCAACGCTCTCTAACTGGTCTATCTCTGTTTTCGACAGCTGAAGCATTGGCCGCACAAGTCACAGAAGAGCATTTCGCAAACGGTCTGATCTACCCGCCATTCTCAAACATCAGAGAGATCTCTGCTAACATTGCAGCCTGTGTCGCCGCCAAAACCTATGACCTCGGTTAGTTGAATGAAACTGTCTTAACTCTTATCTCAAGTTCTTGGCTTCTTTTTCTTTTGCTTTTGACTAGTAAGTAATTGTGCTGGTGTATTTGTGGTGTAGGATTGGCATCGAACCTCCCACGTGCAAAGGATCTTGTCAAGTTTGCAGAGAGCAGCATGTACAGCCCTGTGTACAGAAACTACCGTTAAAAAAGTTTTGTTGAAGAAAAACTGCAGATTCTTCTATTCACAACCCTTAATAGTTCTTAAGGCTTGTATTTAAGTTTTTTTTATTTTTCTTGTTTGTTTGTTTGTTGTTTTTTGTTTTGGACTTCTACATTGTGATGCTATTTGTGAACCCTCTCTCTGTCTTTGCTGATGAATAATAAATTGTTACTAATATATAATCTGCCAATCATTATTGTCTCAAAGTTACATCATTTTCCATCCCACCCAACACATTCAACTTGTCTTGGAAGGGAATATGCATTTTTCTGCAACTTGTATCTTATTATTGCCTGAAAGTAAAACTAATTAAGGGAGCTTATTGGTTGTTTTATTTAAAGAACTTGTATAGATTTTCCATTATTTTGAAGAGTTTATCAAAAGTTTCATATAGATTAAAGTATCAATTAGACAAAATTTTCTACTCAAACAAAACTCCTAATGAATAACTCTAAGCTCCTGATGATTTTAGCCTTTTAGGTAACTACAGTAGTTGTTATAAATAGCTAAACCAATAAATAACAAGACATCGTTCTGATATCCAAACCAAAACTAAACCGAAATTGGGCTGAACAGAGATTTATTAAGGCCCAAATAGTGTCTGCTGAAAGGGAGACTCTGTAATAAAATCAAATTGCGGGTGAAAATCGAACTAAAGAATAAGTTGAAGGACTAATAAATAAATGGTTAAAATGTTTGTAAGAATAAACCGCGTGGTCATCTCTCTTCTGGAAAAGGCGAGAAACTGTGATCTCGTCCCCTTTATTATCCCTTTCTTCTTCAATTTCTCCGATCAAAATCCTTTTTAGCTCTCTATAGAACCCAGGTATGTTGAACTGAGATTTTGTTTCTCTCTTGTATAATTAAGGAATTAAATATGAACACGTATTATTAAATCCTGGGCTTTGTTTCTGTATTGTAGGAACGTCTTGATTTTTGAATTAGATAATCTCAGTTTGATAGAACTGTTAATGATGCGTAAAATTGAAGGGTGTCTTTTGCATATCTGAAATTGGAAGCTGATGATCAGTTGATGTTAATCGGCTCTGGTTACTTGTAATATTATTTGCTTTATTTGAATCGGCTGATGATAGATTAACATGTCTTATGGCCTGAATTGTGAAGAAGTGATCTTGGGTTTAACGTTTCATGGCTTTCCTACTTGAGCCTGACTCCATTATTGTGTTTACATGTCTCATTTGTTTGACCAGGTTACACAGAGAAGTAGAACAGAACAAATAATTCGTCTACCCGGATTGATCAATCTGAAGTGCAGTTCATGGCGCTAAACCCTCAATTGCTACCCAATGGGATACCTATTCCCTTTGTTAATGAAATGTTCGTTCTAGTCAGAGATGGTGTTGAGTTTGAAGTCGACAAGATCCCTGGGTTCGTCTTCCCTCTCTCGTCTCTGCTTAAGTGCTTTATTGATCGTGCGTTTGATTTGATGATTATTGTCGGTTTAGATCCATTCATCTAGCATATGAACCATTAAGTTTACTTTGAAATAAGATTAAGTCTTAGAAGTGAACAGACATATGAGCTACGGGTTCCCTGATGTTCTTTTTGTTAACTTCAGAGGGCATGGAGGTCATGTTAAGGCTAAGGGAGTGATTTACTTGTCTAATATACGGATGGTCTTTGTTGCTAGCAAGCCTGTTGACAACTTTGTTGCTTTTGACATGCCCCTGGTACAGTAACTCTATCTTATCTTTTTCTCTTATATAGTGTTCAAGTATAGCTCTATTAGATTTGGTTAATGAACTTCATGCTACATATATTAGCTTATGGATTTTATGTTACTCTGTAGCTTTATATCCATGCCGAGAAATTCAATCAGCCAATATTTCACTGCAACAATATCTCTGGACAAGTGGAGCCTGTAAGTACAAAGTTTAATTGGGAAGTTACAATTTTTTCCCTTGCCAGGAAACTACTATATAGATTTACTTATTGGCATGTACTAAAATTTCCAGGTGGTGCCAGAAAACGAGCATAGAGCTCTATATTCAACACACAGTTTCAAGATCCTATTTAAGGAAGGTGGTTGCGGGACATTTGTTCCTCTCTTTTTGAATCTCATATCATCAGTGAGACAGTACAATCGACAAATGCAACAAGCAGCAGAAGCAGCAGCAGCAGCTCCACGTGTTGATCCTCTTCAAGCCGCTCAGACCCCTGTAGAAGAAATGATGAGACATGCGTAAGTCCCTTCTGAATCAATCGAAAGGTTTTCTGATATTAGTAAAAGCTGTTGTTCCTCATAAAATCTTGTGTGGCCGTCATTGTGTATGTGCAGGTACGTGGACCCTAATGATCCAACGAGGATATATTTGCAGCAGCCATCAGGGGAATCTCAGTTGAGGCGGAGAGCTTACCATTCGGGTGCAGCGGAACATTGAGATACACGAAAAATACAAAGGCTATGAATACAGAAACAGCAACAGATTAGTGTTGCAAATAAGCAAATGTGTTGTTGGTTTGTTTAAACTTGAAAACTAAAACAATCTGTGTAAAAAGATGAGACTTGTTGGGTGTGTGGATGTATCTGGTAAAATTGAAGTCGTAATAATCATAAGTTTGGTTTATATATTGAACAAAATGTGGGGCAAAAACCTAATTGCCGGTCGGCCTGAACCATGAAAAGTCGGTTTTGGCTGATCCGCATGCTCAATTTTATTCAGCTTAACCGCAAACTGCTAATACTTGAGTTTGTAGTGAGTAAGCGACGGTATTAGCGACAAAACCAGAAAACATGTTGATATTTTGTAAGCTAAAACCCAATGGACTAAGATTTTTGTCTGACAAAAAAATTGTAACACTAGGCATAGCAATTGTCTAGTTCTGCAAAGCGACACTGGTCCAATTAGGAGGAGCGAGAGCCGAGGTACGAGTGAAGATCTACAATTGTCCATCGTTTTGACCTAAAAACCCTAGTCTCGGGGGGGGGGGGGGGGGCTCGCGACGCCCTCTCTGATCAGAAGCGACTTCATTCATATAGGTCACTAGAATCTGCTGCTTCTTTTCTGGTTAGTGTTTAACCAAGCTCCGTTTTGTTTGCTCTTAATCGAATCAGATTTCTATTATTCCTAGATTGGTTTCTTTGATGTATATCTATGGTATTCGGATTCTTGTGCTGAGCTCAATTCATTAGCGGAGGATTTCTTAGGTTCGATAATATATCCTTGATTACATATTCGTCACTATCCAAAATTTGCAGCTTTTTATGTTCTTAAGATTATTGGTTCATTCAGTTGTGTTGTGCCTCTGTCCTTCATCCGTAGAAACTAGCATTGTCATTGGCTTGAATAAGCTGCTTGATGATGTTTTAGACGAGTGAGTTCCAGAGCTTCCTTTTCATTTCTTCAGGTTAAGAGCAATACTAATAATAATGCATACTCTCGAGGGTGTTTTGCAGCAAGAGAATCAAGGTTTTATATTGATTTATGGACACCCAGAAGAAATCTGAGGAACATGGCCTTTACCATATAGTCAATAGTACCGGTGGTGCATTTGGAGCGGGCGCTGTTGGAGGTTCTGTATATCATTTCATAAAAGGGTCATACAATTCCCCAATAGGTGCTCGTTTTGTTGGAGGAACACAAGCGGTGACCATGAACGCTCCTCGTTTGGGAGGCAGTTTTGCTGCATTTGGAGGATTGTTCTCCACATTTGACTACGCAATGCTGTGCATCAGGAAGAAGGAAGATCCATGGAACTCGATCGTAGCAGGTGCTGCTACAGGAGGACTTCTTGCAATGCGACGTGGGATTGTTGCAGCTTCAACATCAGCGGTTATGGTAGGGGTTTTGTTTGCTTTGATCAAAGGGCCTGCGTTGTGAACAAGTAAGCTTTTCTGGGATTGTTGTGTTTGATGAGAGCCTCTCTCTCTCCCCTTTTTTGGCTTGGGTTTGATGAGATAATGTCATTCAGATTTTCATGATAATTGCCTTTTTTAATTATAAAATACTCCAAAATTACTGGTTCATGGAAGTTTAACAGATTTCGTGGTATGGCTGTGTTTGATCATTTTTGTATAGACGTCATCAAGATATAATTATGGCTATTCATTTCAAGTGTTCCTTTTTGAATAGCCTTTTTTTTTTTTTTTGGGCAAAAAAAAAATAGCTTTTTTCTGTATAGACGTCATCAAGAATAGCTTTTTTTTTTAAGTAGATGAAATCTCAGGGGAAAACCATTTGGGAAGAAGAAGAGGTAATGAGTCAATGTGTGAATCATGAAGTCATAGAGCTCGAAAGTCAAAAAGTTAAAAAAAAATCCGTGAATTTGATGATTCTGATAAAATCCTTAATAAAGTCCAACTAATGCACACGTACCAAATGAAGAACCAAATCCATTTCTTGTCAAATATACACCAAAAAACAACTCAATTGTACTGAGGCAGATATAATAAGCACAGCCTCAAGTAGATAGATCATTTTGGTTTCTCACTTATTTACATACAACCTTAGGAGGATCTTCACCAGTCACCAACACGACCATATCCACTCAAAACCAAGACCTCGAGAGACCCAAACAGTATCTTTAGATTACAAGTTTTGTCCCTAATTATATCCCTCAAATAAACTTGTTTTCTTTTTCTTTTAACAATCAGAGTTCCTTCTCTTTTGTATCCTAATTCTATTCACCTGGAGTAATAGAATTACAAGAAGAGAAACAAACAAAACAAAAAAAAACCAAACTGAAATCCCCACTCCAAACTTGGGGCAGGACTGTTTTTAGTTGTTCTGAGAAAAATTACCTGACAAGACTTTGTCACGACTGCCAAAACAGCTCATAATCCTTACTATACAACGAGCGGTCTTGTATCTCCAGGTTTGCTACATGTCGATTTATGAGCTGCGATTGCATTATCTTACACACGACCAGTCCTGCTGGGAATATCCACCATTCACTTTCACCCCTGCATTCCCCAAAAAGGTACAGACATCACAAACCCAATAAACAAAACATAAGATTGTCACAGATAAAGAGACTCTTTCCAAGTACTACTACTTTGCATAGTAGTAAAACTCACATGTTTATATTCCACGGCTGAAATGGGATTTTCTTGCTAGCTGATGATTCACTGTGATAATGAACATATCCGCAGAGAAAAGCAACAAACTGTCACAAAACCAAAACTCGTCAGATAATGTGAGAATGCAGCATGTTCTAAAGAATCAACACCCATAATGAATTGAGCCACAAAGTTCACATTGCATTTTTTCACATCACAAGTTGTCAACAAAGAAAACTTACCACATTGACTAAGGACATGAAGTTCCACAATGCGTAAACACGTGCTAAGCCAGCAGAGCGTCTGGGTCCATGACTGAATAAGGCATTAATCCCGGCGGGAAATGGCAGAAGCAAGCCGAGAGGTAATATGAACAAAGCCAAAAGTACATCCAGCAAAGAAATCGAATACAGCTGGAGCAGTGTGAGCAAGACTAGACTAAAATCTCCTAAAAGTATCATCGAGATAACTAAGCCAACCATATCCTGAAATACCAAAGAAGATAACAGAGGGAAGAGACATTAAAATTCTAGAAAAGTTGAACGTCACAACATTTAAGAATACATTCATACCATAAAGATTTTAACTGGGTACATACCTGGTGGCCCACAGGTTTTGTGTTGTGAACTAAGAAAGAGAGAAGGAAAAACATATCTCTCTTCTCTTTCAGACTCGGTAAGCTGTCAAGGTCGATTATCCCTCCATAGTTCTTTCTGCGTGTCGTATAATCCTCGGTGTTTGTGTGGGTTTGGTTGAAGAGCATACTCTCTCTCAAATGTGCTGGAGAATTTTCTTTATGTGCATTCAGGCCATAACTAGAAGTTACAAAAACAAGACATCAAAAATCGGCATAACTAGATACGAAGTGCATTACAAAAACATGCTAAACGGTGACATCACAAAAGAAATCTTAAATTTCTAGAGTGATCAAGAAAGAATTGTGATCGTTTTGTTTATCAAGATTTCTCAGTTCATATTTTCTATTCAACTTAAACCAACGCAGCACATACAGAAGAAAGAATGGTATCATGACTATTGTCACCACGAATGGAGCCTAAGATGGAATAGACAGACAGACTGCATGCAATTTCTCATTCATTTACCGTGGCTGGATTTCAGTCCATGCTGTTTCATTGACACACTGAGGTGATGTTGGTTCACAATCCTCAACAGTATGAATCAAGAGACCATATTGGCAGTAACCACAAGCTGTAGTCTGGAACCAGGCCAGATCAACCCGTATGCCATGTGTTTCCAGAGCGGGATTAGCATGAGTTTCTAACCATTTCAGAACAGAATGAAATGTTGATCTCAGACGCCCACGGCGAACAAGACGTAATTGAGCATTAACACCAGCCACCAGTCTGTACCAAGTAGTAGGCGAACCAAGCTGGGAAAGTAAAACAATGAGAAAGAATCGATACAACCTTTAACATAACTGCTGAAACTGCTTCTCGTTAACTAAGGAACCAACCTGACTCATCAGACTGGTAAGAATGTTGTCATTTTGAAGTGAGAAAGGAGCCATGTAACTGCCATCACCACCAAACAATATGGGCATTGGTAACCTTTGGTGAAGTCGAGGTGGAAGGTCTGTCCTTTTTTCATCACCACCAAGGAAGAAATCCAGATATGCAAGCATCAAATCGGAGGTTGCAGCGACCTATATTAAAATAAATATATATATACACTAAACCTTACACCAACAAATCCTTGTAAAAGGAATCAGATATTCTCAAAATATAAAGTCCTGTTACCTTCAGACCCTCGTATAAAGCTCGGGAGCGACAGGAGCGTAAACAGGAGTGATCATATTCTGAACGTACAAACTCACGCAGTTTTTGCAACTTCATCTTCCGCCGCCATTGCTGCCATGACCATGCGAGCGGATATGCAACTACTGAAAGAATACTATATATGGCACCTTCCCACCATTGATATGCAGCTATAGAGTTGATTTCGTCGACAAATGTGTTAAATGCAGCCTCATATCTAAAGAACCCAAAACCAATATAAAAATAGTTCAGAGCCAAGGCCACTTATTAAGTATCTATAGATAAAACAATGAGAAACAATCCTAAATCAGCTTGAAATAAATTAACAAACAACTTACACTATCTCTTTAATCTCCTCCGGGGGAATGTGTGAGAGATGCCACGGCTCACTGAATGTATTAGGACCCATAAAATACATTCTATGCACATGACTCTGAGATTGCTCAGCTCTATTTGTTTCCAACACCTGACAAAGAATAACATTATAAACAGCAGCACAACACTGTAATATAAGGAGTGTTTGGCGGATATTTCGCTCAATTATGTCTTTTGAACAAACATTACTTGCATCTGGAGTGAAATATCGGCGAATACAAAAAGCATTCTTCATTTGCTTATACATATGAACGCAAAAAGTAAGACACACAAACAGTTTTTCTATACAATGTTTAAACACGAAGTAAATCATCTAACCTCATTAAGTGACTCCAGGAAAGGGAAGGAATGATCTATTTGAGAGCCATGCTGTGTGGGAGCTGGGCCAGGCAAATCATCAACTCCAACAAATTTCATTCGTGCAACACTAAGTACAAGTGCTAAGAGGATGAGGAGACCCATCAGAAGAAGACCAAACAACCAAGGCCCACCAAATGTGTAAATTAACTCCTCGAGTGCGGTGTAACAGTGTGGCATGTGATACCTTTCCGATATGCATCGATATGGACATGGTGTCTCAGAAACGCCACCTGTATAGAAAATTCCAAGGTTTATAGTTGAGACATGAGCATTTCCAGCATCAGTTTATAGGAACTAAATAACACCGTAGCCCAACTTAAATCTTCAACCACACTTAAAATCTGCAGACTTTGTAGTTGAACGGTTTATTCATGATCGCAAAATGAATAGAAAAAAAAATAGGCTTGGTAGTTGAACGGAAAACAAAACTTGTCACTTAAAGTTAGGAAAAAAGTTATAGCGCATATGTAATACACAAGAGGTCAAGATATAAGCGAATATTATTTATACCTCGAACTGTGACATAGACAGCACGAGTTGGAAGCTCATCAACGGGACAAGGGCGACAAAGAGAAGGGTCGGATCCAGTAACATTCTTGAATGTCCCAGATGGGCATTCCTGGAGAAAATAATAGAATTGTGAATACAATGAGCTTCGAAACGTACATTAAAATTCAATCGTGATATAGGGAACAAAAGGCAAATAGAAATTTCGCCCCAGTGATATGATAGAGCAAGAAAATGTTGTATTAAGTTTTTCTAACCTTGCAAAATATACCGTGGAGTCCCTTCGGACAAGCCGTCCCAGTTATTGTACCATTTTTGCCATAAAAACCATCATCCGCTGCTGCTCCCCCTCTACGATTACAATTAGAAAACATTATTAAATGCGATAGGCTGGAAAACGATATCCAATAACAACATAGACATTGGAAATGCAGTCAATGACGGAAAACACATTAATGATTATGGGAACATCGCAGTTATATAGAGGACATACCGTGCATGAATTATTCCTTTTACACTAGCAATGGGCTGGTATATGTCCCCAGTCGGAATGTTTGACCAATGAAAATGAATCCTCCCACCTCCGCCACCACCACCACCACCAGGACTGCCAGACCCACCACCACTTGAGAGAAGGGACGACTCTCCTAAAATAAGATAACGCAGGAACAAAAGGACTGTTCCCCCAGAACCACCCCCAGGAGCTACAATAGAACCGTTTTCATCTCTACTCAAACGTTTGACACTTTCTCCATCAACCCTAATTGAGCCTTCAAGTGATAAACCAGATAGAGGCTGCTCCATTGAACCAATCACTGCCCAGATTCAAAGAAAAACAAAGAACAGGTTAAAAGGTATCATCTTGAAAGCAATCAATAAGCTTTCATGGCAACCACATGTAAGCAAGGTAGTGTATGGCCTAAATCATGACAAGCTTCTACAATGTTAAGGGGCTATTAAAAAAACTTGTGACGAAATAACAAATATAATTTGCCAAATATTTGACACATGGAATACGAATATAGTCAATAGTCTACAT